ATAACACATAGTGCACGTGCAATTGCACAAGGAGGGTGTGTTGCAATTTCATGGCATGCCCAGACAGCCTCAACAAGCTCAAGAATTAATTTCATGTCTAATGCAAAAACAGCAGCAGCTTGCCAAGCACCCACCACCCACCACAAATGAACCCTGGTGGGGTTTTTTTGTTTGTATTTTTTTTGTTTTTGTTTTTGTTTTGTTTTGGTTTGGGGTTTTTTTTTGTTTTGTTTTTGGGGTTTTTTGTTTTTGTTTTTGTTTTTTGGTTTTTTTTAATATGACCATCCCTGGGATTATGATAGCAATAAAGGAAAAAGAATAACTCAGTAGCTGTGCAATACTCAGTCACTTGGACCAAACAGAAGGTGACAGCTGCCTAGGGCAAAGGTTTCTGCTGGCAGAGCTTTCACAGTGGTCACCAGATTATGTTCCTCAGACTTTGGTGCATAACTTGGAAGTAATGAGGTCAGCTTGTTTTGTTGCTTTGTTTTTTCTGGCATACAAGTGGCCTATTTTATAAAGTTCAAATGTACAACTAATAAGCAAATAGTCAACCACAAATGCCACAGACTAGAGGTTTTTATGCCAGACTAGCAAATGAAAGCAGATTACACGACATATTAACTAAACACAAAAGAACAATTCAGTGCTGTCAGTAGATTTAAATTACTAAAATATAGATATGTATGCACTTCAGGATGCCTTGGCAAAGTATCACTGGCTTTTGACCCCTGTTAAACCCAGTAAGACAGTATTAGAGCTCGTGCTGTGTTCATTTAAAGGGGAGGAAAGCAGCTTCTTTATTGACTCATACAAGCCCATATTTCAGTGCAGCTTTCCCTTTTTCTAGCATCTGAGTCTAGCGCCTAGATCTGGAGGAGGATTCATCCCAGAGTGCACAGGTTGTGTAATAACGAGCTTCTGACCTGGAATTTCAGCTTTAAGCATATCCTGAACACCTGGGCTCCCATGCGCTGCCTCAAAGCAGCACCAGGCAGTGTTTTGCAGCTCTTGGTTTCGTCAGGGGAGCACAGGGTATTAATAGCTAGGCTTGTGCTTTGGGGAGCAATCATACAGCCTGATTGAGCTGTTGTATAGCTGTTTCCTCTGCTTCTTTCTGACTTGGGGTTATCCTCTTTAAAATCATTTAGGGATGCAAAAAAATTATAAATTGATCAAATGCAGCACATTACAATATTGTTCATAATTAATATTATTTAAGAGGATACTGAACTGTTGCTGACAAGGCCTGACATTGCTATCTGTGCTGACCAGAAGGTATCAACATTTTCCACTTGTCTCACTTCTGTGCATTAGTAGGGATCCATTAAAAAGAAACCCCAAACCCTGCAAACCACTTCTGTTTCTGAGACTGCTGGCAATAGGGATCCTCAGTGTTACAACTGCAGACGTGCCGTTCTTTCCAACACGTTTTGAGGCAGATACTTTCTGTTCCCCAGGTTCTGAGCAGACAGGGAACCAGTTCCTTCCATTTCCTTCTGCGGCTGCAGCCATGAAGCAGCTCCACCCCGCCTCTTCGCCATGCAAGGGGCTTACTGCTGCTCAGTGGAGACAGCAGCAGCTCCATGCCGGCTGCCTTTGCAGGAGGCTGGATGCAGCTTGTGTAAGGGCTTATATAACTCCTTGAATGTCAGGGCTCCTGTTTTGCGTCTGCCTGCAGAAAACTCCTCCTTTTGTACGTAGGTCGAGGCACAGAGCAGAGGCAGCTCCGGGCTCAGCCAGCAGCAGACGAGGCAGATCTGCCTGCTGCGGATAAGCGGAGCGCAGGGCAGGGGGCAGCATAGCCCGGGCAGGTGCTGTGTCCTAACTTGGGGCAGTCGGGGAAAGTGCAGGGATTTGCTTGTTAGAGGCTTCCCTGCGCTGCAGATAATGTTAAGTCGGTAGACGAGGTTTGGGTTGTTTACTGGCAGCTTTGAGCCACTAAATTCATGTGGGAATACAAGGCAACACAGAGCAGCAGAAACCTCTGGGGTCTCACACATCAAGACACTGAAATCCACCCAGGAGTGGTGATAATATTTGAATATCAGGAGAGTCGTCAGCTGACATGCTAATCCCTCTGTCCTGGGAGCATATGGAAGTTTCTGCCACACATTGTGAAACCATGCCTGGTCACAACATTTGGAGAAGTGATGTTACATTCCAGCCAGCGTAGTTACTTGCCCCAAAGGAACCTGAGTAACAAGGTGTTGACTTGGAAAATTCCCATCCAACCAGTCTAACCAGGTACTAGGCTCCCATGGCTGCAAGGTGCTGCAGCTGAGATGCAGGACAACCACTCTCCCATGATCTGCTTCATACATAAGCCCCCTGACCCACAACTCTTCTGGGAGCCCCTTGCCTCTTCCCTCTGAGCTGGAGAGGCTTGAAATGCTTTGCTGTGATACAACTGTTTTTGCTGTCCCTTCTTGTATTTCTGAGCACTCCGTGGGTGAAAAGGTACATGGCAGGAGCAGGAGCACCTGGCTGGGAGAGAGGAGCTGGACTCCTGCCTGATCCCATGGGGCCTAATCCTTGTTTTTAATTTTCTCTCCCAGTGGCCCTGCCCAGAAGACTGTTCACCCCTCACCCCAATGTCACCAGTTGTTCATTGCTTGCTGTACACTGACTCATCTTCTTGAATTTGCCTTGCCTCTGCTCATTAATATGCATCAAGTACTTCACCTTTTCCTTCTTTGACATTATTGCTACTTTTTTCCAACACATCATTTGCTAAACAAATATATTTTTCCTCTCAGTTTTTCTAAACAAATTGTCTTCCCCTTCACTGCTTAGGTTAGGGATGGAGCACAGATGTAGAAGAAATGGAGGTTCTTACTCTTCTCCTAGATGGGATGTAAAGATCTGCCTAATGATCTTTAAGCAGGTGTTGAAGCATAGTCTCTGTCTCTTCGACCGCAGAAAGGTTTTTTTCTGTGGGAAAAGAAATCTAGTCATTCTAGCCCTATATTTTTAACTCCAGATTTACCAGAAAGGGCTGTAACAAGGCATGTACTTCTTCAGCTAGACCCAGCTGCTACATGGTGCACATAGGGCAGTTGGTGTCTACCCCAATCCAGGCTACTGATGAACATGTGGGACCTGCATGCTGGGGGAAACAGCATGGCTGTCTGCTCCACACACTGCAGCAACCGAGGTGTGGGGACCACACAAACCACTTCTTATTCTCTCTGCACAGAGAAAATAAACATCTATGCTTTCCCCCAGACAGCTCCTCCCATTTGCAGGGCCAACAGGCTAAATGCACACCTTGCACTTGAAGCAAGGGAAACTGGTTTCTTCTGAGAGCTTTGCTGGAGGAACATTCCCAAAGGAAAACTCAATAGGAGAAACATATTGAAGGAGAGAGTGGAAAGGATGCCTCATTATTCATCAGGGTCCTCTCTGCTCACCCTGTATGGTTTAGGTTTCTGACCTGCTGGGGATCTGTTTCCCACCCTCTCATATTCTGAGCAAGGGAGAGATGAATTTTTCCAACTCAATTTACCCCACAGTATTTCACTTATGGAGAAATACATCAAAATTTTACTTAGCAAGAGCAAAGTGTTGGAGAGGCCTGGCCGTATGGCCATACCACTGACCTGCAGTGGGCTGCTGCTTTAACCTTTCACATTATGTCACCAAGGGACACAATGCCAGAAACTGTGCTTCTGTGGCCTGTCTGGCCTGGCTTTGGGTCTCTGCTTTGCCTTGTGCTGGACCAGCCCTTCTCTTAGCACACCATATTTTTGCAGTTTTTTTGGGTCCGACACACTACCCCCTGACACTTCAGCAGTGCACAGGTAAAATCTTTCACATAAATGGCTGTTTTTCTGAAATACTGGGAAGTCCCCACTTCCTGGCAGAAAGACTGGAATTGTTTTACTAATGTCATAATGTATGTCCTCCCACAGCATCAGTTCTGAACCATGGTGTTTACATTAAAAACATACCAAGCATACTTTTGGAGGGACATAATAATAATCTTGTTTATGTAATTAAAAAAAAATAAAATAAAAAAGAAAGAAAAAAAGAAAAGAAACAAAACCAGTCAAGGTTGGTAAAGCCAGTCACCATATGGACAATGTAAATGACGGCAGGAGGGGTTCAACACTGCCTCACAAGAGGTGCTGGCCCAGTTTGCAGGCACAGTAAGCCAGTGTGTGGACATTGAGGTGACATCTAGACTGAATGTCTTTATGGGAATGCTAGCAGGCAGGCAGCTGTTGCCATGGCCAGGCCAAGAGTAGCCATACAAAAGTGGTGGAGTGGCACAAGCACCGATATAGGGCGCTGCAGGAATTCAGCATGTGTAGCCGGCCTTGCAGAGCGCTTTTCTCGACTCTGAGCTCCTAGGCAGGTGTGTTTCTTTTCTGCACAGTCTGGTGGCACCACACTCGGCAGGGCACACGGCACGGTGGGGCAGAGACGAGCCAAGCACTGCACCTGCCTCCATTAATGGACATAGAGCAGGCGGGCATGAGCATCCCAGAAGGAAATAAAGCACTCTGCGGATACCCGCGCAGGCTGCAGCACGGGTGCCCGAGGGCGCTGATACGAAGTTGACACCGGGGCTGGCTGGAGATGCCTGTCCCGGGCGCCCGGGGGATTCCACCGGCGGGCTGCAGGCACGCAGCGTCTCGCGGCCATTCTGGCATCCAGGAGAGAACAACCTGGAGCTCCACGCCCGGGTCACGGCGCTTTGCGGGTACTCACGGCCTCAGCCGTCCGGCCTCGGGCGGAGGGCATACACCGGGCCGGGAGCCCCGCGGGCCGGGCATACACCGGGCCGGGCAGGGCCGGTCGTTCCCCGCCCCTGGGGGCGGTGCCGGCGGCGGGGGCGGAGCGCTGGGCGCACCTGAGCGACACCGCCCGCCCGCTCCGCCCCAGCCGCGGGCGCTTCTCCGCTCCCGGGGCGCCGGGTCCGGCCGCGCCCCCGAGCTGCGGCGGCATCCGCAGCTGGAGCGCCGCCTCCCCGGTGGTGGGGACGGCACCGGACTCCGAACGGGAGGAGGAGGAAGCAGAGCAGGCGGGCGGGCTCCGCAGCGCGGCCTCCGCGCCCTCCCCGTCCCGATCGCGGCCCCGCCTGCACCCGCTCCTGCCGGGTGGGCGCTGCTCTCCGGCGGCGCGATGTCGGCGCGGCGGCGGCGGAGGGCGGCTACAGAGCAGGAGGAGGAGGAAGAGGAAGAGGAGGAGGCGGCAGAGGCGGGGAGCGACAAGGTGAGGACGCGAGGAGGCGGCGGCTTTTGGGGCAGGGGACAGCGGGACAGCGCTGCCGGCCGCCACGGGCCGGACCGCGCCGCCCGCGGGCTCCGCGCTGCGCTGCTGGCCCCGGCATCAGCCACGCTCAGGTCCCTGCCGGGCTGTAACGCGACCGCGCTCTCCGGTGGCGGGAGTAGGGAGAGGGCCAGGTGCCAAGTTAGGGGTTGTGTGACCACGCGTGTTTTACCTCGTAGCCATTCCCCCGTGGCGAGACCGAAACGGGAGCGGCCAGGCTCTCTCCGGGCCCGCAGCGAAAGCTCAGCGCCGTAACTGCGTGTCGTGTCTCACCTCTTGACTAGGGAGCTGGCGGCATGGTGTAACCCCAGCCGCTGCTGAGCACCACCCGGCCGCTCCCTCACATCCCCCGTTCCCCCCTACCCGGTGGGATGGGGAGGAGAGTTGGGGGAAAAGGTAAAACCAGTTGGTTGAGATTAACACTTTAATACTGGAAATGAAATAGTAATATTAATGAAAAGGGAGATGACAAAAAGGCATATAAACCCAAGAAAGTGCAAGTGGTGCAGAATAAAATTGCTTCACCACCTGCCCAACAACGAGCAGCAATCAGCCTTTCTCAGCCAATACTCCCCAGGAGAGCCTTTTGCCAGGTCAGATCAACTGTTCTGGCCCCTCCTGGCTTCTTGTGCACCTCCTCACTGGCAGAGCACGGGAAATAGAAAAGTCCTTGACTTGCGCTAACCAGTGCTCAGCGAAGCCAACACATCAGTGTGTTATCAACATTATTCTCCTGCTAAATCCAAAACACAGCACTGTAGTAGCTACTAGGAAGAAAATTATCTCTATCCCAAATGAAACTGGGACACCAGCCCAGGCCAAGAGCACGCTTCAGTGTGGTTGGGCCAGTCCAGTAGCAATGGAACTAACTCAGAACAGTGATCTGCTCCATTTAAACGCTGTGTCAGCCTTTCCTCAGCAACTCTTTCTGCTTTATGGCCTGTTAAGTGATAGGTATTCACCTCTGGCCTGGAAAGGACTTACAGTATGACATTTCTGCTAAGGCAAGAGGTTTTTGAAATACTAAGTCTATGCATCAGGTTCATTACAGTGGCAAAACAGCCACAGTGCTGTTCTTTTGTTTGCTGTGGAGTTAAGGCTTATCTCTACAAAAGCTAAGCACATCACCACATCACAGCTGCTAATTGTATGAATAAAATGAAAGAGAAGGTCTCATTTGGGTAACTGGAATTAAAGTTTTAAAAAAAGCTTTCTGATGACTAAATTGAGGAAGCAATATTTGTGTTTTTACTTGAATCAGTAACTGCTTAAACTTGCATGGATGTCGATGTTGCAGAGTGTGTAGTCTGCCTTAGGCATTGTGGCAAGGAACTGGAAAGTGAAACTCAAGACTTTTTAATCCATGCATTGGTTGCTTTAATTAAAAGCAAAAAAAAAAAAAATTTGCAAATTTTTAGTGCTGTGCTGCATTGAGAGCTGTGATCACATAAGGTAATGTTTAGACTATAGCTGTGCACAGTATTTCTCTGTAGATGAGAATTAACTTTTAAACATCACTTTTCTCATCACAATGTGCTCCACAAGCTGTTTTTCTATGAAGATACTCTGGTTTGCTTTATTTTGCAGAGTAAGTTTATTTCTGTGGTGTGCAGCGAGCTGCCTTTAAAGAATTCTTGCTGTTCAAAGCCTCTGCTACCCAGATCTCCAAAGGGTGCTTCTAATCTTGGTTTACCTGTGTGATTTTCAGAGAGGAAAATGCTGTTCTTACTTACAGGCCTACTGTGGTTTTACTCCAGCTGCTCGACAACTTTAGTGTTTCATCCCATTTCAGATGATGTTGAGCAGACAGGAGGCTGGTGCTGTGTATGCAGCCGGGGTGCTGGTCACAGGAGATGGATTTCAGCATGCATACATTTGTGTTCACATGAACAACAGATATGGAAAGCCTTTTCCACTACACAAGAGACTTTCTCCTGGGTTATTTGTGGGACCCTCTGTGTTCCCACTGGAGTTGTTTAACCTACCTGCAATGTGCCCAGCACTGGTGACCCTTGACGTGGCTCACAAGTGACAGTAAGGATTGATTTTACATATTAAGCTGGCTTTAGTGCCCTTGGTAACTGTAGAGATAAAGCAGTATTTTGTACTGAGGTTTCAATTAGTGGTCACAATTTGGGACTCTGTTTTGAATATGAGCACACACATAATGTCTGCTGTAGATGATTTGATGAGTAGCATATGGTCATCAGGATTCACAGGTGTCACATTATACAGCTTCCTAGATGGTTATCACTCTGCTCTATCTCTTGCCCGGACTTTACAGCAAATGGATACATTTATTGTCCTCTGGCTATTTTGAGATGACCTTTTTGGTGTGATGATCCTGTATTTGGACTCAAAACTGGTTCTTTGGCTCAGGATAACTACTCAGGATAGCCACGATGCAGTAGGTTTGCACTGCTTTCTAGAATGCAGCACAGAAACATTGTCCTCTTCATCACTTGTAATGAAGGAGAAAGCTTGTTTCTTTGGATTGTATGTGCTTCATTCTGCTTCTGCTCTTGTTGGCCCAAACCAAGCCTTCCATATATATAAAGGCAACATGCAGCTTCTTTTGCCCAAGCAGAGAAGCCCTCTGTGTTTATTGAAGAACTCCAGAAATACTAAATACATTTGAAGGTTTTTCTGTATTCTACTTTGAACTCTCTTTTCAGTGTGCTATCTGGTACTTTTCATGTTACACTTACTGTGTCTGCAGATGCTCATTTCCTACTGAATTTAAGTGAAGCTGTTGGGGATTTTCTTCCTCATTTGCGTGCCTTTTTGTCATTAATTGGAAACAACTGGTAGCTGTTTCTATATTGATGTAGTTTCAAAGGAAAGTTAAATTCCTTGGTTTTGTATGAAGGAATGTGATATACCCTTTGTGAAAGCTTCTTGAAGTTCCCAAGCTCTGCAAGTCTTAACATCTCCAGTTGCTCACTGGCTTGTTGAGCTTGTTGAGCTGGTGATATTTTTCAAAATTGCTGGTGATATTTTGCAAAATTGCTGTGAATGTGCCTGTTCCATGTAGGGTCCTGCAATTTCACAAGTTTGTTGTTTTCTTTGTATTGTCCTGTGGCATACAGGAGTGATTTTTTGGTTGTCACTTTCTTACTCCCTGCTCCTTGCCCTGACTGCTCTTTTCCTAAGAATGTCTGGTCAAAGTGCCTTCATAAATACCCTGTGAGCATTGAGGGAAAGAGGAATGACTTGGCATTCAGATGCTGATCTTCATGTGTTCATGATTCTTCTAAAATTTTAATTGTTTGCTTTCTTTGCTAAAAAACAAGGGACAGTGCTTTCAAATGCTTCCAAAAAAAAGTAGCATATCCTGGAAGAAATCATACAGTTATTCTTCTTTGTACTATACAGAGTTGTCAGAGTAGGATAGGGAGGGGAAATTGTGATTGTATTGCATTGCTGGCTGTTAATAATTTATAACTACAAGAAGCTTGGAATCACTGAATGCTGTTTCTCTTGTGGTATTGAAAAAGGTGTTTCTGTTCCATGGGATAGCCCTTCCAGGAAATCAATTGCCAGATAAGTTGCTCAGACCTGTGGAGCTCAGTTTGGCACTTGGATCTTCGATGTCCAAAACCTCAGAAAGCTGATGGGAGATAATGAAATTCCTAGTTGTTGTATAGCCTATTGTGGATCTGTCTGTCTGCCATGGATCACTTAGTTACTTCATTGGGATTACTTCTCTTGGAGGACCCCAGAAATGGATCAGTTTAATTTTCACAGAGAAGTCTAACCTCTATGCTTTCTGCTGCAAGCATGTTAATAATAATCAGGGCAGACTATTTCCAAGCCTCTGTTTTCTTGGAAATGGTGGTAAATTAGTACTAATGCAGAAAGAAAAGGGTCTGTAGTTTCCAGTCATTGATTCAGTATGTGCAGGTCTCTCGCCTGTGTTTCTGCATATGTCGGGCTTTAATAGCTTGGAAAAAAAGGTTTCATTATTCAGGATCTTCTGATACTTTGATGTCTTGGCTTCAGAGGAAGGTATCAAGGTACAACTAATTAAATACTCTACAATGTGTTCTAACTGAACTATTGACTTTTTACTATGGAACTTGTGACAGAGACTGCAGAAAGATTAAAGATGGAGAAGAAAACATACTTCGAGTAACACTTAGACTTATAAAATGAAAATAACTAAATTATTTTGCTCATTAACTTTTCTCATAAATTGTTGGACAGTGGATTCATTTTTTTGGTTGCTTTTCGTGGGGATGTTGTATTCTCAAAGAAGAACATATTTGCTGTCTACTAAGGAGTTCCTTAAAGTGTCCTGGAAAAATGCCATACAAGGGGAATGTTGCAAGTGCCTTTGTAACCAGAATAATTCTGGTGCGTGATTTGCTTGGCATGTATTAATTGTAGTGGAGGGCATGTGGTACAAAACAGCAGTTCAGATGTGTGGCCTTTTAGATGATGAAAGATGGAGAGGTCCATTTCTCTCTCCATGACACATGGCTGTATTTCATGAGCTGTTGCAAAATAGCCGGCAAGCAGAAATCCACCTGGAAGCCTAATTTGTGGCAAGATGTCACATGTTCTGAATTCCTGGTATGGAGGCTCAAGCCCTTGAGTGGCTGAGTTTCCCCCTTTGTATGGCCAAGTACTTGTGTTCTTGTGGAGAAGATTGAGCACAAGGATGAATGTCTTGTCTTTTGAGAATACTAAACTTAAACCATCTACCCCTTACAGACACTTTGTGTGTGAATCAAGCAGGCAGGAGTGGTGCACTCTCTGTATATAAATGAAGAGTTCTGTCACCAGCAGTTTGAAAACTCTAGGAAAAAATCCAAACACCTTGGATAAAACACTTAATTTGGAGTTTGGGTTGAAACGTTTCTGAGGCACTTCGGACAGTACAGCCTGTGCTGGTCTCAGTTAATCTTTGTAAACCTCCTAAATACCTGCTCACAGTGTGGAATCCACAGCATTTCCCACAGACCTTCACAGCTCCTTGATGTTACTGTGTACTAAGCTTGGCCACATCTCAAATCTGAAGAGCAGGAGAAGGAAGGGCATTTTGGGTTTGTGCTGAACTCCAGAACTGCTTCTACAAGGTCAAGCTGCAGTAGCAAGGCTCTTGATTGATTTTTTTTTTTTTTTGAGTGCTTTTATAGTGATTAACTTATTGTTTCCTTCCATAATGATTGTTGTTATTTGTGGCTATAAACTGGAATGTTTATAATCAATCACATAAAATAATTTAGAAAGTTATTAGCGAGAAAGTCTTGACCCTCAGTGATGGGGTTCTAAGCACTTAATGATGCAGAAGACAATTAACTAGCTTTTAGTGAGCAATGTCCTCTTTGGCTCCTGACTTTACAAATTAAATGCCTCATTCAGGAAATTGTTGTGGTTGTGATGGCAGTTAACTGGAAATTAAAGCATTCATGCTAATTTTTGAGGTGTGTTGCACAAGGAAGTTGAAGATAGTTGAGGTGTTGATTCCCCCTGGTTATTTTAGTAATATAAGGCAAAAAAGTGCACCAAGTTCTAAGCAACTTGCAGGTTGCACCAGCCAAACTCCCATGAGCTGCTGAAAATTACATCAGATAAACACAGACCCCTTCTTCAGGCTGGTTAGATACTCTGAAGAAAGCTGTGCACTTGTGAATTCAGATGTTAGAAGTAGCTAGAAGTAGCAAATTTAAAGTATTGCTGATAATGAGGTGCTTATAAGTGATAGTTGTGTATTAAAGATAGTTGTGTATTAAAGACGGACAAAACTAAGTATGATTTTTTTAAAAAATTGTTTAAACACAATTGTTTTCTGCAACACCTAAGTAGAATAAAAAAGTTTGGGGATATTCTTAGTTCTGAGTGCTTAGAAGAGAGAACATCTCTGCCATCTGCAAGCAGAGATTAATATTAAAGATGCTAAGTCATGGTCTTAGGGCCAGGATTACTGCCTGTCTTTTGCACAGTGAGGAGTGTCTTCTAGGACTGTACAGACAGCTTGCTGCACTCCAGAGCAGGTCACAGGAGCTGAAACATGGCTTTTGGAGGGAGCTGTGATCCCCTCAATTGCATCTATAGTTGATTTCCTAGGCTATGGTACAACACTGTGAGAAACATCTCTGAATAGCAGGGTTGTGAGAGTGGAAATTTTTTATTTACTTATGTGCTTTTCAGGTGCTCTACAGACTTTCTGAAGTCTGGACCACAGCTTATTTACTGTTGTTACTTATATTCATTATAGTCAGAGTCTGTCTAATTACTCAGCTATGGGGCTTCATGGTCTGGGGAAGCATTGATCACCTTTTTGAAAGAAGTAAATGGTGTAAAATTGATGATTTCATCTTTGGCATGTATGTGGTACATCAAGTGAATGAGAAAAACCCAGGCCTAACTCAAAAAAAAGAGAGTATGTACCTACCCACTTGCCTTGTGCATATGTGTAGTGCCAGCACACTGTCTTGGGTTCTGAAAGGTTAAAAGCACTGTCTTAATGGAAAGGATGTTGTTTTTCCTCTGATCAGTGTCCCTGGAGAGCCTGGGGAGGGTCTGAAGTTGCCTGCAGCACCCTGGTCAGCTCCTGACCCCTGGCCTCTCCACGGCCCCTTCTGCCTAGCCCCGAGGTGTGGGCTGGGCCCTTGCCTTTGGGCAACCAGCTTTGTAAGACTTTATTTTCATGTTGTTTGCAGAGGCCAGGCACTGGGACAGAGGTTACACCATAGTGCAGCTGCAGGGAAAGGGCCGTGGATTATAAACAGTGTAACCATGCTGGGCTTGGGTGGGATGGCTGGGGTGTAAGCACCTAAATTCTATGGTGTCTTGTAGTGGGGGCGAAAGAGAGGATATACCTCTGCTGGCTTATAAAAAGTGACAAAAATACTCAGAACAAGGGGAGAAAGTAATATTGTTGTGGAAGAGGAGGAAAGAAAAGCAGAAGTTTTTAATTCATGGAAATAGAGGAGAATGGAAATGAAGGAGAAAGAGCTGAGATGAGGAAGTTGGAAAGAGAGGGAGATGGAGAAATAGCATATAGGAGTGGAGAAGAAAGTTTTAAAGCACAGTTACTTAACAGTCCCCAGAACTGTTAAGAGCTGATGAACTTGAGGCACCAGGGCAGGCTGAAGCTGTTTGAGATTGTAAGAAGGTGAGGCGAGTCAGGGAGGTTAGGAAGAAGTTCAGGTCTCAGAAGAGCTGGACACTGAGCTAGAGATTGCTCTCTGCATTACTGCTGTACCAGGGCTGAGTGCAGATTTCCAGCTCCCTGGACCTGTGGTGTTTGCAGCTTTAGAATGACTGAAGTCACACAAAGTTGGCTTTAACTGAGGGGAAAAATAGTCCTGACATTGTGCTCTGATAGTTGGTCACAATTTGTATGTTGTCACCAAAATACATAGCGCCTGTTTTGTATTCGAGTTAGACACGCAGTCTGTCTAGATGATGTCTTCTCTAGCAGTCCTCAGCAAACACTGAAGAAAGAATTACAGTGTTGCAGTCATACACAAAATTATTTTGAGTAATACTCTGTCCATGGGACACTTGGTCATTTCACAATTTGGTTTTGGATTGTTCTTTTCAAGCCTGAGGTTTCAATGTACCATGAATAAAACTGCCAGCAGCCTCTTCTCATTTTATTATTATTATATTTTGTAATATTTTATGTATAAAAATATCTTTTATTATATTTATTTTATTTTAAGGGACAGTTTTTTCATGCATTACATTTTCTCTATTTTTCCTTCTTAATGTGATATTTAACCTTCCCCTTATTCCATAGAAGGGTAGCTTGAGATGTCGATGAGGGAGTGTGTTAGAGGCTTGGGGATTTCTGGCAAACTCCAGTATTCCATGTCAGCTGGAGTACTTCTGGAAACATATATCCATGAAAAAGTGATGCCTAGAATGGGAAGTTTCTTGAGTACTGCAGGTAATGTCACAACATCCGAGTACAGGCCTTCCTATAAACATTTACTGGCATACATTTGTCTCCTACAACATCTACAGTTTCACTAGTACACCATTGTTGTTTTTTAGAGGGTAATGCAGATATTATCAGTTCACAAACTAATGTTTGACTCACAATACTGTTTTCTGACAAAAGATCTGATAATATTTCATTTTGTATTGAGTTTTCTGATAGTTTTATTTTTCTTTTTGTGATAGGAAGTGGATTTGGAAGAAAGACTTCATGAGTTGGACCTTAGAAGTGACTCGGATATTCCTGATGTTCCTCCACCAACAGACAGCACTCCAGAAATCCTCAAGAGGGCTTTGTCAGGCTTATCTGCCAGGTGCAGCAAAAGAAAGAGATCTCAAATTTAACAGCTGGTGGCTAAAAGTCATACAGATTATGTTGCAGTTTTAAGTCTTACAAATTGTATTGCAGTTTTAAGTTTCATATGGTAGATGTGAAAATTTAAAGGATAAATTGTTGCTGGATATTACTGATTTATTTAGGCTTTGATAGTCCCTTCAGTAGAATATTTTTTGCATACACCTGTTTTTACCCAATGCATGCTTTTCTAAGTAAACACAGTTTACATAAATATCTACTGAATCTGAGCATTGCAATAACATGGCCTAAAGAATTTTAACCACAGAATGGTTATTTCTGGAGGTTTTAATAAACTGATATCCTACCTCAAAGACTGAGAGGGGGATTGGTTTATGAATGAAAAGATGTGTAAATTCTCAAGATAAGATTTGCTGGAATTTTGAGACATTTACCCTTCCAAATAATTTGCTGTGCAGTTAAATACATCATAGCTGATACGTCCATACTTTTTAAAGCAATGCTTTTTTTTTTTTGCTTTTTTTTTTTTTTTTTTTTAAACCTATTTTTTTTTTTTTTTCCTTTTTTTTTTTTGCTTTTTTTTTTTTTCTTTTTTTTCCCCTGCTGTTTCTTTTCAAACTTAAGTTTCTACCTCCATCTTCCCAGGGTCTTGATGGCCAACAAATGTGAGGGGATGTGTATGTGCACAGATACAGATAGTTGTGTGGACCTGCATATTCATGAGGGCTGTCAGATAAAGTTCCTTGTATAATTTTTATGCAGTCCCTTTACAACACCTGATCATCAAGTGCTTTTGGGGCACTTGCATTATGTTTTTTGCAAGTTGCATTATGTTTTTTTCACTGATGCAATGAAAGAGCATTTAGGTGATACATACCAAAAAAGTACTTAGTAAAATGAATATGGGTGTCACATGTTATGTTCAATATAACAAATCAAGCAATGTACAGTGTGTATTTTAGAAGCAACTTAGGTCTTGCAAGAGTCAAAAGAAGGATCTCTAATCCAGACTACAATTAAAACCTTTCAAATCCTTGTCAAAAAACTAGTCTCCAATTATTAGATAGCAGATGTCTCCAACACTGTGAAATGGGTTTTTTGCCTTGCTCGTTTTCTAATCTGTTGTCTGTTTCTGTAATGTCCATGAGCTATAAGCAGATGTAATGTTTCGGGTTTTAAAAAGCCTGTTTCTAAACTGCACCAGCTGTGAGCAGAATGTAATATTCTCTATTGCCATCATGCTGCAAGGAGTGTGTGTTTCAGAGTTCTGTCATTGTGTTAAATGTGGAAGTCAGGTCTCCAAATCAGACTTGTTCCAAAGGGCATGGTGATACCTCAAAGTCTGAAACTAAGAGGTGCAGCTGAAACCTTTCCTGTTTCATGGGCTTGAAATTCTTTATTGGAGTGTTTGCACCAAGGTGTATAAAGGGTGCTTTGACTGAAAAATTAAATTCTTGGTGCTTTATGAATGCTGGAGTTGAAATTACCTGCCAGTTCAGTAGCTTGCAATCCCAGCGGAGTTGTTGTTCATCATGTGCAATGTGAGTGGGTTGCACTGTAAGTTTCAGAAATATGAATACTCCTTGTATTTGACCTTTGAAAGAAATAGTATCTATAACTTTTAACAGAGAGTTAGGATACAATAAACTTGCCAGGTAGCTTCCTAAATTCTGGAGCTTCTTGTCTTACTGAAGTTGTCTTTCCAGTGCTGTGCTTGTCAACACCCCCGAGATAACATGTGGTATTTTACCATTACTCATAAAGGAAGCTGAATTCTTCTGGAGGAGGCTTGCTCACTATGGGTATGGCACCAGGGCCAAGCTGCTACTGTGTATCCCACATCATAAAGCAGCATAAAACATGTTGTGATAAAGCCTCTCCTGTCTCTATTCTGATACTTAAGGCAAATCCAATTAGCGGCTGTAGCTGCCATTAACTTGTCAATGAGTCACATTGTAGAAAATCAAATTATTGGAGTTTACATTGGAACTGGAGTTTAATTCAAAACTAACACTGAACCAGGTGTATCTCCTGATGAAGCAGTGAAAGCCAAGACTGATGCAAAGCAAAACATTAGGAAGAATGTCTTCAGGCTATAGTAGGGGGCTTTGTGTTTAGCAGTAGCTTGTGACTAGTTGCTTCAGTGGACTTTTAGAGGAAATGACCTCAAATTGTGCCAAAGGACATTTAGGTTGGCTGTTACAAAAATTTAATTTAGGAAAGAGGTTTGGAATTAAACCTTTGGAGAGGTTTAATTTAGGAAAAAGGTCAAGCATTGGAACAAGCTGCCTGGGGAGCTGGTGCAGTCACCATCCCTGGAGGTATTTAAAAGATGTGTAGATGTGGCAGTCAGGGACATGATTTAGTGATGGACTTGGCAGTGCTAGGCTAACAGTTGGACTTGATGATCTTAAATGCTTTTCCGGCTCAAATAATTCTATGACTCTGTAGTAACAGAAATTTTTATTCTCTTTTCCTTAGGTAGCCACTAGCAGCTGCCAAGACCTACAAGGACAAAAGAGTATAGCTAGTTTGACCCATAAACCCCCACTGTCACATATTCTCCTGTCCTGGTTCCAGTGCTCACAAGAGCAGAGGACTGCTTCCAATAGATAACCTCCTGCCTGGCAAAAGAGCTACTTTGCTGTAGGAAGGATGTTTTGTTCAGAGGTGGTGTTGTGTGTCTGTTACTCCTCAAAGAATCATTTGCTTTTTACCTGGCAGCCTTTCTTTCATATGCCAGCCTTTGCGTGGCTGGGCCCCCATCAGGCTTGCAGCTGACGTGATGCTTTTTGAGGGTCCTGCTGTTTTTTTCACAGCAGCTCCAATATGGGGTTTTACCAATTCATTGCAAATGACATTTGGCAGGGTTGAGGCAGCACACGGAAAGAAGAAAGGTGTCCAACTTTAATTTCTTTTACTGTGCATCCTGTTCAGTTGGTTAGTTCCTTGATTCTGTGTTTCTTGCTATGCATTGATTAAACACAAAAACTTCTGCTTTTCCCACTGTTTCTAATACAGTTTAATCTCTAGTTAGCATAGGAAGTGGAATTAATTTTAATTTATAACTGTTTGCTGCTTTTTTTTTTTAATAGATGGAAAAATTGGTGGATTCGTGGAATTCTCTCCCTAGCTATGATTTCTGGTTTTTTTCTGATTATATATCTGGGATCATTTATGCTGATGCTTCTGGTAAGTTTATTTAAATGCATTCTGTGCAAGAGTTATTTGATCTCTTCATTCATCATGCCTAAGCTGAAAGGAAACTGCATGGACAATTCAGAGCAATTGTCTTTTATTTCTGTAAATGTAAATACTTCTGAAAAACACTTGAGGGATTCAAAACTGGACCTTACAGATTAAGGACTTCTTATATACTGTATTTTTTAAATTTTTTTTTAGGAATTAAAGTAGCTCCAAGAAGTTGAACTTCTGTTGCCTTGCCTGACTAGTATGGTCCATGTCATTGACTAGTTTGTATCACCTACTGTTGCACGTTGAGATTTGTTTGAAAAAGCAAACAAACAAAAATCAGACCAAAACCAATTCAAGAAAAACTCCAGACCCACTAACAACAGAAAAAAATCTAAAACCAAAAAAATTAAGAGACTGGTGCAATTTTGAGGCTCAGGAAAGCAGGCAGCCCTGGCCTCCTGTCTGCAACTGGCACTGAAAGGGTTTCCTCAGACATGCTCCTTTAATTCCATATTTATCTATGAGACTTCATTGTGGCCTTGCATTTATCTGTAAGTTGGAGCTAGATCCCTTTCTTAGGTACAAAGTGCATTTTTAGGTCATGAAGTGAAATACTGATGAGGATAACAATAAAAAAAGTTATAATAATCTTCATATACGCTATACAGCAGGTCAGCCTTTACTGCTTCTTTGCACCGTTTTAATTGCTAGTATTATTATGGAAGGAAGGTTTAACTATCTTTCTCAGCCTTAGAAAGGGACAGACAGGAATTTAGCTTTTAATATGCTGAAATTGGTTCTTCTAGGTAACTGCTTCAGTTTTTGACTCTAAGTTTGTTCAGGTATCAAAATTTTTACACTTTTTTCTTGGCCTCCTATGAGAGAATTCTAGGATTGTATTCCTAAAAACATTTAGGTTGGAAAATACCTTTAAAATAATTGAGTTGAACTGTTAACCCAGCATTGCCAAGTCCACCACTAAACCACGTCCCCAAGTCCCCCATCTAGAGATCCTTTAAATATCTGCAGGGATGGTGACTCAACCACTGCCCTGGACAGCATCTTGCAATGCTTGACAGCCCTTTTGGTGAAGAAATTTTTGTTGATATCCAATCTAAACCTCCATCTAAACTGAGGCCAAGTTCTTTCACTTGTTACCTAGGAGAAGAGACCAACCCCTGTCTCCCTCAGGGGAGCTCAGGGGACAGGGTAACCAGCTCAACAACTGGTCTTACCAGGCAAAGAAAGCATTAATGACCTCATTAATGTTGTTCCTCATTCTTTGTCACTGTGTTTTCTCCTGCATCCAACAAAGAATGGAGCTTCTCCTTTGCCCTACTTTTGCTTCTGATGTCTTTATAGAGGTGGGTTTTATTGTCTTTTATGGCAGTAGGCAGATTAAGTTCTCATTGGGCTTTGGCCCTTCTACTTTTCTTTCTGCATAACCTCACAACATCCTTGTAGTCATTCTGAGTCACCTGCCCCTTCTTCCAAAGGTCATAAAATCTAGTGTCTTGAGAGACTGGAATGCTGTTTCACCAGCATTATGGTCTGCATTACAGTTTCTAGACCTGAATAAGTCTGGTTAATATTTCCTGTTTTCAGATGAATGACATGACAAACTACTAATTCATTGTCTCATTCATGAAGGATTTTCTTTTTTTTGTGTGAAGAAACAACAAAACAATCCCTTTTAAAGTGCAGCTTGCTATAAAAAGATTTTTTTTTTCTCCTGCAATCCTTCCTTTAGTAGTCAGTTACATTTGAGAATTATGATTATGAACAAAAAGGAACTAATTAATTTGCAGGGTGATTTTGTGTATTCATGGTATACTGTGAGATTGCAATCATGGGAAAGCAGTTAAGACATGAACCAAAAAGTAATCAAAGTTAGTAGAGAATTGTAATAGAGTTCCTCTTTTGTGCCATAAAGCAAAAAGTCTGTCTTCTATTATACTGAGCTGGTAATTAAGTTGATATTTGAGATGACATAAAAAGGAGAATGGAGGGAAAAACCAGTCTTGTTCATGAATTATTTAATTTGACTGGAATAAAATAGCTTGTGTTTAAAAATAATAGTTGTCATGTTAAAACCAAATCTCAATATTGGGACTGAAAATGCCCAGAGACTTGTAGGAAGAGTAATCCAGTGAGGTTTGGAGGACAAGACCCGAGACTGCTGTAAAGAGCTGGGGTGTGTGCTCTGCATTTGCTGGGTACTTGGGTAACAGGCTTCCGTGACTTGGACCCTGGTGCCCTGTTCCACTGCAAAGTGAATTCCTGTAATGTTGCTCTTGTCTATAGCATTTAAGTTTTATAAGGTTGGCCAAGCAGAAGAAAGAGCACAAGACAGGGGATCGTCAAAATGAACTCATGGAGGTGGTGCAAGACTCTGAATCCGTGTTCACGAGTTGAGCAAGATGAGAAGCGCTGGTGAGCGCAGGTGGGCAGGGCTGCTGCCGAGCCCTGCGTGCTGACAGCGCCGCCTGTGTGGGCAGGCCCTTGCTCCGGCCCTGCACGGCGTTACCGTGGGCTGAGTTTGGCAATTCCATGTCTGGGCAGGGTGGTCTGCTCAGAGACTGTGGGTTGGACACATGTGGCAGAGTCCTTTGAAGCCCAAAGGCATGACAAGACATACTGCCCCACTGAGGCTGGCAAGGCAGGGAAGCAGTGAGGTCAGTAAGACAAAATGGAGGCCTGGGAGGGTGTGACATTCAGGCCTGGGTTAGGTGAGCTTTGCCTCTAATAATAAAGGCTAATTACCCTTAATGAGATGCTTGCAAGTGAAAGACCTAGGTGTCCTGTGTTGCACAGCTAGTTTTTTTCCATTGGGCCCAGAAAATATTTCTAGAATTAAATGTAAAGATAAAACTTAGCCAAAAGAGGAGAGTTTTCTTTACAGGAAGCACTTCTGGCCTGTTGCTATCAAACTGTTTTAATGCAGACAGGTCAGGAGCCGTCTCTTGTTTCACAAATATATTCTTGAAGCCAGCCCAATGCGGGGTATTTTTTCCTTCATGTACAGTGGTTTGGAGATTTTTTTAAAAGTTTTAAAGCTTAGTTTTTCCTTAGATTTGATTTAAAGCTGTTTTCTGACTGGAATTTGACTTCAGAATAATGTTTTCCCTTAATGTAGGCTGCAGTGCTCCTTACTGCCTGTAAGAAACAACTGCAGCATATTTACAAAGTTTTTTATTTCTCTTATTTTAGGTCTTAAGCATCCAAGTGAAGTGTTATCATGAAATCATTACTATTGGTTACAGAGTATACCACTCATATGATTTACCCTGGTTTAGATCCCTCAGCTGGTGAGTAGCAAGCCAGAACGTTAATAAGCCAGGATGTGATACTTACATCATCATCTGCCTCACCTGTTGTGGTGGAATGACAGCTCTGTGGGTCATGTGCAGACATAAAACTTGACATCTGTCTCTAATACAGAATTTTGTAGTTGTGTTCCCCCTATGAACTTGGACAAATCAGTTGGCATTTTACTACTTATTTTTTTTAACTTGTTCTAAATAAATCCTTATTTGCTTGTTTTGTTTTTAAGAATTGCATTTAATATATGTTGTCGTGTTAAAGTGACTGTTAGATGTTGCATATTGCAGGTACTTTTTGCTCTGTGTGAACTACTTCTTTTATGGAGAGACTGTAGCTGATTACTTTGCTACATTTGTGCAAAGAAGAGAACAGCTGCAATTCCTCATTCGTTACCACAGATTTATATCTTTTGCCCTCTATTTAACAGGTAAGTGCAGGAAATCACAAAAATGAAAGAACTTTGTGCTGTTTGCTCATTTAATTTTAAAATATTAATTATTCCCCATAATAATTTAAAATATTAATTGTTCCCCATCATTATGCCCTTCCAGTCTCTTTTTCCTCTTAGTACTTGAGGAAATGAGGTGTTTGCAGTTATATTTTTCTTGTGAAAAGATGAGTACAAATTTTGCACTCACTGAGAAGAAGAAAGCAGCCTAAACAAGGGGATGATCTTGAGACAGTTGAGATAATAGTGCTCAAAATAGGTTGGCAAGCATTAATTTTGATTGCTGAAGACCTGGTGCTATTTTGGCAGGCTGTAGAGATGATTTCTGTGTGTAATTGCTGTGCTGGGTTGATTCTTTACTGTGCAAGTGTTTTCCTAGGTCTCCAGTAATAGGATTTACGAATATATTTTTAAACTGATTAGTCAAAATGCCTGAGTCTTAATTTTGTCTGCAAGATATTCAGATACTTTCCTCATGGAAAAATTTCCTCCCTGTCCAAAGAAAAGCTTTTAAAAAACATTTTTCTAGGAAGAAGAGACACAAGTTGGTACTTTTTCGGGGTATTGCTTTGTGAACATGTAAATACGTTTTTTCAGCAATACAGTTTAGCATAAAATTAAATCAGCTGAAGACTCAGACTGTTTAAGGGACAGGGGCCTGCTATGCTACAAATATTTCTAAAGTATACTGAGAAATCTGATTTTTGTGATGAACTGTCAATCTTTCTATTGCTGTTTTTTGGTTTTTTTTCTTAAACCAAATAAAAATTCTGCTCAGTGCTTAGATCACAAACTTGAAACCAGCTTTGCAGAACTTAACCTTTTTCAGCTGCCTTTGGCTTGCGGAAACTAACTTAAATAATGCCTTGTGAGCTGGTGAGGGGAGACATGAGACAAGCCAAGCACGAGCAAAAGGAGGAGGCAGAGCCCCCTGGCACTGGGATTGTGAGGTCACTTTGGGGCGGTCCCTGGGGTTCAGCATCTTTTGAGGGCCTCTGGCCCCCTGTTGGTGCAGGAAGTTGCTATAGGAGAGAAGAAGTGCTCAATTAGCCACCCACAAAGTTCTTTTTGGTCAGCTGAATTCTCCAACCCCTGTGCTTCACACTTTCATTGCCTGCAGTCATATGCCTATTTGGGGGAAAGGGGCAAGCTGGTCTTTTCCTTTCATTTGTTTCTGTTAATTATTCAAAACTAGTTTGTTGACCTGGCTTTTGAGTGGCTTTTAAAAGTGATGATCTCCCTTACTAAAAATTGATGTCCACAATGGGACCTTGTGTGTGCCTAGAGGGTTGTTCTTTACTGGTGGTTTACTGTGGATGTTCTTTACTGATGCTAGCTAAATCTGTGTCAACTAAATCATAGTCTTGTATGAGAATAACTCTATATGTACTTTTAACTGAATATAAGCCAACTCTTCTAGCAGCAGGGGGATTAAAAACTGCTTCAAAGGAAGAGAATTACTGGTATATCACAGTTCAGTGTCATTAAATATAAGATGGTACAAACTGCACTTGCTTTATTTTACAGGATTCTGCATGTTTGTTTTGAGTTTAGTGAAGAAACATTATCGTCTGCAGTTCTACATGGTGTGTATTATCCACTTTGCTGTGCTCATTCATGTTCCCAGTGCCACTCGAAACAGTCACGTCCACGTGCTCATAAAATAGTTCGGAAGAGCAGTGTGGAAAATGTGCTTAAATTGAGAGTTACGTGAAATCAAGTCATGCTGGACTCTGTCTGTTCACCTTCCAGATGATGGTGATTATTATATCCCAGGAAGTGGCCTCTCAGTCAGTACAAGCTGTCCTTGGTGAGGCCTTGTGCAAGTCCAACGTGGTATGTTTCCCTTAGTGATAGGCTGATATGAAAGAGGTTGCTGGAGAAGGGGGATGCATCTCCCTACCAGGCCTGAAGCCAAACAGTTCAGCATTGTGTGGAAAGTGGTTCTTGTGATTCAAGTGTTGCCTTCTAGAGGCCCCACTGAAGTACCATGAAGGGTCTTGATCTTAACCCCTGTGTGAAATATTTACTCCATGACATTTCACAGCTGTTCTGGTCTTTTGCTCTGCAATGTCTCAATAGATCATTGATGTATTAAAAGAAACCAGCATTTTCATCTCTCATATTTGTCCACTTAATAATCAGCACAGTAAGCTAAGCATGAACCTTTTTCCTATGTGTATCTTATATGTTGAAAACTAATTCTGTAACATTGCAGGTTAAAACAAAAGTAAACAGCCAAAACACCCCATGGACAACACCCCACCTCCCACTTCTATGTAGGAATGATTAGAAATCACAGTGAAACAACAGTGCAGTACAGCTCCTGTCTTGAAAGAACTTGAGCAATCAGGGCATTGCGCAATTTAAAGATTTCCTAAAGCTCTGGTAATGCAGTTAACCCTTCTGTTTTTGCACTGCTTTCGGTAGCACTTCACCATTGAGGATTCCCAATTCTAAACTAGGACTTAACTGAGCCTTATAAAAACATGTAAAAAGATCTTTTACTCAAAATCATATATCCTGTTTGTAGGAGAGTTTACCTGACAGTGAGATGCAGCTTTTCTAGTCTTTCTCTTCTAATCTTAAAAAGAAGAAAAAAAAAAAAAAACAAAAAAACAAAACAGAAAAAAACCCCTCCTCATCTTCAGATGAGCACAACCTAAATATATTAACTTGCTATGATTTTTTTTTTTCCTTTTTCCTCTTCTGGAAAGGAAGTGAAAATGTGTAGTTTCAGTCATGTGACTTGTTGTCTGCCCAGAAAACATTAAAATGTGACTACCCAGGAAGTGCTACAAAATGAAGTGAAGCCATATATCTAGTGTGTGGCAACACAGTGTTTAGGAAGAAAAGGAGAGTCTATCCCATCCCTAGAAGTGTCCGAAGCCATGCTGGATGGGGCCCTGAGCAACCTGGTCTAGTGGAAACTGTCCCTGCCTGTAGTGAGGGGGTTGGAACTATGTGATCTTTAAGGTCCTTTCCAACCAAACTGCTCCATGATTCTAGTAGAGTAGGTATTTGGGTTTAGGTGGTGTTCCAATGTCACTGTACAAATACTAAAAACTTTGCTGCAGCGCTGCATTAATTAACCAGCAGGTAATCCTTTCAGAAACCTTTTGTCATTTCTTGTAGCCTCCCCACTCTGTCCTTTAAGGCTTCTCCAGTTCTTTTATCTGGAAGTAGAGTCTGGCTGCCATAGGTAAACACATGTGATAAGAGAATTAAAGAAGTAGGACATTTTGAGTGTAAATGGCTCAGACATTTAGAGTGCTTAAGTTTGTTGTATCATGGGAAAGCTACCAGTTCTTGATTTAAAAGCGTTTGGAAAATAAAATGTATTGCAGAGTCTTTACTGGTAACCTGTTTGGAAACCACTTTATTGTACACTGGCTCTACAGATTAAACACCAAGTACATACAGTACTGAACTAAATGATTGTTTAAATAACCATGCCCTTAAAAAACAAACACTTCATTTTTGCTAATCCTGAGAATTTTCATGTTTCATAAGTGTATTCTGTTATGAGAGACATCCACATCTGTGTAACAGTACTTTTTCATGAGTAGTTCATTGGCATTTTATTGTTACAGTTCTAACGTGTCTGTTATATGTATATACAGAATATCACATTGCTTAAACTTCTTTGCTGCTTTCATGCTGGAGGTGTAGGTCTTATTAAATCAGGTCTTAAAACTGCATGTTAAAAAATTCTGGGTGGAGGTAAGCGATGAAGAGACCTGCTGAAGTTCTAGAACTTGCTTCAGAAAGCCAGCTCATTTGTGATATACTGTATGCACACATCTCTTGCATTATCACTAGAACTGGTGTTCCTGGGACGCTCCTCAGTGGCTCCTGTAGCTGATGTGCCAGGATTTATGGAGGTGTGCGGGTCGGTGTTATCACTAACTGTTGTGTTGTTGCATTGTTAACAGTTCGCATGGACTCATGTCACTTTGCTGATCACTGTAACTCAATCTCATCTTGTCATCCAAAATCTCTTTGAAGGCATGATCTGGTAAGGGGACAGTAACAAACTGATTTGTACCTCTATTGCATTGAAAGTTTGCTTCTTTTGCATAGATCTGGTTAGGGAATAATTGTGGGAACAGTTAAGCAGGACAAATTGTAGGAGCATTAATGTTTAATTGGAAGGGGGATCGGAAGAATTGGGAGTGGAGGTAAAGCATACAGGAGAGGAAGCAGAAACCTCTTTATCTAGATTGACAGACAGAAGTCTGATAGTTTTGAACAATCGCTTCATTTACTTGCAGGGAATAGGATTGATTGCATGCTAGGTCAAATAGTTTCCACAGCATTTTGCTGAACAGATGAATATCCAGCAATTCTTTTGCAATTACTTGGGAGTTTCGAGTTGCTCAGAGCTATTGAAGTTGGACCATTTAATTTGAAATCCCTAATCTGGCAATGTTCCCTGCAGCCTGTCCTGTTCAAATAAATTCAGAGTACTTAAAATATTTTAAGAGTTTTAATATTTGTTATGGTTGGGCAACATTTGTGCCCCATTTTCAGTAATACATTAAATTTTGGCAATGCAGTTAAACTTGGTTATGTAAAGCCACTCCTCAAAGAGCGGGTGTGTTTTCCTACCCCTCTCTTCTTCAGGGACAGGGTAAATTTCAAGTTGAGAAAGAAGGAAGAAGCATGTGGAAGATGGTTTGTGTTCTTCCAAGGACATAATGCTGTATGTTCTTCTCTTCCTCATACATGTACATCTGGGGAGATTATTGCAGACAAGGCATACTTACAAAGAGAACTCAAAACCTTTGAAAAAGTTTCTATATACAACTACTTTTCATAGTGATTATGTTCACATGTCAAAAACTGAACCTAGTTGCTTTGCTAGCCTACTGTTTCTTGTTGCCACTCTTGCTAGACAATTTGGCAGGAGATCAAAAAAATCTGACTTTTTAGCTTATTAATACATCCCTGCTTTGAAAAGGGGGGGGGGGGGGGGGGGGAAGAGTGCTTAATAGGCTTGTGTAGCAACTTCAGATGCAGTCTGCTTGCAAATATCACTTTAAAAGCTGCTCCAAACTGACAACAAGGGAAAAACATATAAGGAAAATGATTTTTATTTTTTATTTAGCTGTCATTTAAAATTGTTGAGTAATTTGCTTGTTTTAGTGTCACCAAAAACACTAACATGTTGATTTCTTCTTACCTATGGTACCAGTCTTTAAGCCTGGTAGGAAAAAGCCAGCCCATTCATGTTTTAAGGTCATGCAACAAAATAACACTTTAACTTGAACTAACATGAATCTGTTATGATGAAATTTGGCTGAAGACTAAAACCAGTATAGCTAAGTGGGGTGCTCATGGGGAACAAGGTGAACACATTATGAAACATAATTTCTTCTAAATACTGCAGAAAAATTTTCCAGAAAGAAATTCAGCTCTTTCAGTTTTAGTCTGGTTTTTAGGTTCAGGCTGTTTTTCTCTGTGAAACTTTTAATGCCTTTCTCTAGGTTTCTGGTTCCAATTTCAAGTGTTATCTGCAATGACATTACTGCTTATATTTTTGGATTCTTCTTTGGCAGAACTCCATTAATTAAGGTAGGTGCTTAGGCACTTCCTTGCTAACAAGTTTTACAATCTATAGCAATTTTGTTACTTGTTAAAAAGCATGTTAATGGAAAAAATACTTTGCACTGTACTGTATAATTCACATCTTTGCTAAAAAAGCCCAAACTGACTATCCTGTTCCTGAAAATTTGAATATGGGAAACTGGGATTAATGTGAATGTGATATTGGCATTACAGGATAAAGCAGCTTGAGCCTATTGCGTCATAATTTATAATTACATTCTTTTCAGATTTCAGATGCAGGTTTGGCTGCATACTTACTGCACAGAAACTTTTTTGAAATAAGACACTAGGTGATATATACCTGCTCCTCTTGTTGACTGAGAAGGGCTCAAGCATTAATCTTCCTATTCTGGTAGAATATGCAAGATGCCACAGAAAGCCATGAATTATTTTCATGTTAACTTTTGGGGATTTAGTTGGTTCTGATACTAAAATGCTCTTAAATTGAAAATGTGATAGGATTTGGTAACAGCTTGGCACACTGGTCTCTCTATAGTTATTTGCTGTATTTGTTATCCAGTCTCTCTGCAGAAAGCTTGTGTCTCCTGAGGAGCATCCCCAGCAGTGGTTGTGTCACACCCAGGTTTCTGGCACTATCTAAATGGGCACTTGCTTGCAGAGCTCTCCAACAGAGCTGAGGTGTGCTCATGCAGGTCTCCCAGTCTTGTGCTTGAAGGGAGTTAAGCTGCTTAATCTGGGTCAGATGCAGCCAGAAGCCGGCAGCAGCCTCCAAACAGCAGCAGATGGGATGGGATGGGAGCTCTCCCTTCTCTCAAATTGGCCACTGGCACCAGCCAAAGTTGATTGGTTGGTTTTTCCCCACCTTGCATGGAAGGAGTCGTGGCCATACTCTTCTATTTGTCACATTCAGTGGCTGCAGCTGCTGACATTCATTATTTCACATGAACCTTTGGAAAATAAAGTAGGAGGTTAATTTTCACAAACGAGATCAAGAAATACAGTAAAAAAGGGTGCAATGATTTAACTGATGGACTAACACTATTCTCTTTTGTGCCTAGCTGTCTCCCAAGAAGACCTGGGAAGGGTTCATTGGAGGCTTCTTTTCCACTGTTGTATTTGGATTTATTGTAAGTAAGCACAGGACACTCATAGAACCAAAGAATGGTCATGTTTGGAAGGGACCTTTAAGATCATCTCATTGCAATCCCCCTGCCATGGACAAGAACAGCTTCCACTACCCTAGATTGCTCAGAGCCCATCTAACCTGGTCTTGAACACTTCCAGGCACATGGAAATTTCCTTGTATAGAATCAGTCTTCATATTTTTACTTGAAATAACCAAATTTATCACTAAATTTATCACTAATTTTATGTCAAACTCCTGAAAACCTCAGGGTTAGGGTGTTTTTTCGCCTAGAGAATTCTGCCAATTCATAACTAGCCGGAAAGAGTAGGCAAGGTTTTAACCTCTACTGAAAAGATCATATTGACCATTTTCTGCCATTTCTGTTACAGTATCTGGAATAATTTTATCTATTAGTTGCATCCCTCTTTTGAAATTGAAGTTTATCAATAGCACTATTTATGCTTTGTGAAGTAGTCCTTCTGTGTTACATGCTTTATAATGATATTTCTCCTGGAAATCAATTTACTCAAATGATATGCACAGATGATGATACCATCATAAGTAACTGTTGTGATAAGTAATTTGTCACCAAGGTCAGCAGAAGTCATAATAGCCAAACTTAGTAGAGGAGATATTCAAGTTTTAATGGAAAAGTGAACTGCAAAAAAAATATGAGTTGATGACATTTTTGGATTTTATAATGCAGAAGATAACTAGATAGAAATCTGAGAGACAGAAAAAGTAAAATAATTTGGGAAATCATCACTAAGCTCATGGAACAACTGCCTTGTTGAGGCACTCTCTAGTTTAAGCAGGCTGCTTTTTCTTCATTATGTGTCTCTTATTAGAAAGATTTTTACTACCCTGACCTTGTGGTGATAAAGCCATTTACTATGGTTTTTTGAGTGTAATAACAAATGCTTAATTCAGGAGTTCTTGTTTTGCTTTTCAGTTTTCCTATTTTTTGGCTCAACATCAGTACTTTGTCTGCCCTGTGGAATACAACAGTGAAACCAACAGATTTGTGACAGAGTGTGAACCTGCAGAGCTCTTTCAAATGAAGAAGTACTCTGTGCCACCATTGCTTCAGGCTGTATTGGGATGGGTAAGAGAAAAAAACCAGGCTTTAGTTGAAATTGAAATTTAATGGTTCCCAGCTTAATTGGGTTTCCAAATCGTTTTAGAAGGGTAGCTGAATGCTGGTAAAGCTTAACATGAAGTACTGAGTCAATACCATGAGCCCCTGCATTGCTCATACAGGGGATGTGGTCACCCAGTCAGAATCACCACTGGAGTCGACCGAGGGAACCCGCCTGTGTTCTCCTTGTGCTGCACGTGGATGCTGCTTAAGCATTTTGCAAACTTATTTTTGAAGAGCAACCTTTGAATTTTTTGTGGGAAGTGGACAAAGGCTTGTTATGGCCTGAATTAGTGGCAAGCTGAAGTAAGCATGTAGAACTTAATTCTCTTTTCAGCTAGTGTAACTGCTTTTAGGATTGAAGTTTTACTCTCTTCACCACACAGAATCCTGTGTGTTAGTGCCATTACTTCCATGCTGTGTGAAAAAGTACTACCAGCAATAGTTACATGTAATGTACTCTCCGACTTTTTAAATATGTAAGCTAAAAATGCCTACAATCAAACATATTGAAACACAGTGTTAATTATTTTTCTTGTAGGAAACAGTGAATATGTACCCATTTCAGATGCACAGCTTTGCACTGTCAACATTTGCCTCGTTAATTGGGCCATTTGGAGGATTCTTTGCCAGTGGATTTAAAAGAGCTTTCAAAATCAAGGTATGCAATGAATGCTGTAAGCTTCTGTTTTCTTTTGTTTTTTCTCTTTGGATTAGATAAATTGGTGGGTTAGGGTTTTTTTAGTCCTTCATTGTAGTTGTGTTTCTACTAAGTTGCAACAATGTTTTGGCTGGTTTTTAGTATCAGAAGCAGGACTTAGTTTTATCAGATGTGTGTGTGTAATAGTCTTCAAACTTTGCATAGTCAGCATGTGACTTCAATGCTGGAAATCTAAGAATAATTTGGTTACATAGTTTGGACAATAATTACTTTTCCAAATCGTGTTGCAAGTTTAGACAAGCAAGATGTGAGGTATTATACTTGACATGAAGGGTGATCTGTAGACACCTCAGAAGTGCTGACAGTGGTTTACCCTTCAGATTTTGGCTGGCTGGTTTTTATGGGTGGCATTGGTGTCACAGGCAGATGCTGGTGTGTCAGGCTCACCAAAGCATGAGATGTTTGGCTGCCTTTGCCAAACATCTGCCTTGTAACAGGAGTGTGTACTGGCAAATTGTGACCTGCTACCCTCTGTTTATTGTAAGGTGTGCGCTGTCGCTTGTGGCAATGCTGTCCTTGGCTGGTATTAAATGGCAGCAGGAGTATGGCAAGAGGGCAGCCCCAAATTTCTCCCGACCTTCTTTATGTCTTGGTAGGACTGCTGTAATTCTTACCCTGTTGCTTGTTGCTGTTCATGTTGTTGTTCCATATGTCCACCAAGCTGGCATGTGCTTTGCACAAAAGTGTGTAAACCTCTCTGTTTGTGCTGAACTCTGTACATGTGCTTGTACTTACCCCTCTTTCTCGTGCTGGTCCCAGCAGCTTGCCCAGCACTTTGCTGGCCACAGCACTCTCATACCTGTACATCCACACAGCAAAAGACTGTTTGTGTGAAGAAGGAATTTGGGATGAAAAAAATGTTGCTGAAAAGCAGCACTTGTTGTTAAAGTAGATAAGTAAAAAAAATAGATTCCTTTTAAAACTTCTGGACCCCCAAGTGATGACTGTCAGAAGACTGTCTGAAGGACAGTCAGAAGTCAGGGATGTTGTGGAATTGCTGCTGAAGGCAGCACACTCCATGCCTGCCCCGCACTGGACAGAACTAGTTTAACTTGCTGGCAGTCGCCCCACGTGACTAAGGCCAGGGTTTTCACTCAGAGAGGGCATGAGTGAGTGTGGCTGACAGAAAGGATGTCTGAAGGTATTTTGATTGATAAAGTTGTAATATAGACAAGCTAGGTAACACAAAGGTAGTGTATCAAGTGTATCTTGTTTGCAACAGAAATATATTTTTTTTTAAGTAGTGATCATTTTTTCACAGTGTGTTTTTTGATTCTGTTAGATAAATTTTTATTGTTTGCACATATTATGGTTTTTAATTATGGTAGAGGATAAAACAAAGAAGTCTTAAAGAGGAGAATTAGATTCTGCAGAGGCAAGAAACAACAGCCAGCAGCTTAAGAGGTTTGCTACAAAATGAAGTGTGTATAGGCACACAAGCGTTCTCAGTAGTGGCACACCTGCACCTGACCTACTACTGTCCTCTTGTGTGAAATGTGGACAAATTGCTGCTTCTCTTTTTCTTCTCACCCCTTGGCTTGCCTTTGCAGTTAAAAACTCCTTTAGCAAAGGAGCCTCTTGCTAACTTTTGGCTCCAGGCAGTGAAACCATGGCTTACTTGCAGCCCTAATGTGCTGCTGCCAAGAGATAACATCATTTGTGTGTTTCACGGGAATCACTGACTTTTTTTTTTTTTTTTTCTCTTTCTCCTTCTTGTCCTCACTGGAATCACTGACCATTTTTTTTTTTCTCTTTCCCCTTCTTGTCATTCACACCCAAAAGGATTTTGCAGACACAATCCCTGGGCATGGTGGGATAATGGATCGCTTTGATTGTCAGTACTTGATGGCCACTTTTGTTCATGTCTATATCACCAGTTTCATAAGGTATGGATTTTTTACAATATTAACTACTGAAACATGCACAGGAGCTGTGCCATGATGAATGCATAGGAGTTATGAATGCATAGCAGAGATTGCAGGTTGCTAAGTAGGATTTATCCAGTCACTTCAAATACAGGACTATTAAGAAAACAGTGTCCCTGCCTAGGATTTGTGTCGGATTCAAACTATGCCTGAATTTTCTGGGACTGCTGTTGAAGGTAACCTGTGTACCTGAAATACAAGAAAGTTTTGTGTAGCAGGTTATCAGAAAATTAATTCGAATTTATTGATTACAGAAAGGCATAGGATGGGGTTTCAGGCAGGAGGGTTGTGCAGCATCTGCTTTCCCTGTGTGGTTCCTAAAGATCTCGTAGGTTGAGAGACCACAGTTCTTCCCATGAGTTTCAGTATTTCTCAGTTGCTTGCCTTGGGATTTTCTGTTTAGAAAGAAAATGCTATAGTTAAAGAAAGGAGACAACTTCCTAAAATACTGCTCATCTTCCCTGAACCACATCAGCTTTCAAGAAGAAATCATGGGAATCACAATTCTCTTATAACATTTTAGTTTCTGAGGCAGAGGTGGTTCAAGGGGCCAAATCAAGACATGCCCTTAGTTTTGTGAATGCATATGGCTACTAAAATAAATAATTATTAGATACCTAATCATCAACAGATTCTTTGCCTTATATTTGGTTCATCTTAGAAGTAGATTGTAAGTGGCTAGCTAGAAATGAGGCTGATATTTAGAAAAGTTTGGTTTAATTTGCAGTTTTCTTTACTGACTTGGCCAATTTCCCATTTAGTTCAGTAGTACATAGCTTATCTGGCAGGCAACAGATACTAAATAAAGATCTGCTAATAAAAAAATTTATTACAGTGATAAAAGATGAATCAAGGAATCTTATTTGTCATAAGCCTTCTTAATATCCCCATTTGACAGCAAATAGAAATGCTTTTTAGTTTCTGTTTATATTTAGCTAAGAGTATGCTTTGCCAGTAATGCTGGCCCATGCATCCTGAGGAGACAGACTGAGAGAGATCTGTAACTTGGTGCCCTCAAGAAAGGGAAGGCATTGTTTGGGCAGCAAGAAGAAATCTAAAAGACTCATTAGAGCTGTGGTCACAAAATTTCTTTTTTCATTGACAGGGGTCCAAATCCCAGCAAATTACTGAAACAGCTGTTGATACTTCAGCCTGAACAACAATTAAGTGTGTATAAAACCCTGAAATCTCACCTCGTTGAAAAAGGGATCTTGCAGCCATCTGTAAGAGGATAGTTTGTCAAAACAGAGGACTAGAAGAAAACTCCATCTACCAGAAGCCTGTGGAAAAACATTGCAAAAGTGCACATAAATAATGGCTAAAGGAAGAGTAGTTTGTAGTCTGGAAAAGGTGAATGTTTCCTGAAAAGAATGTGAATGCTATTACTTCCTACTAGGACACTAAAGATTTCTTACTCCTAAAATAATTCAAATGCTTACAAAGTAATGGTACACATGCTGTGCATTTTAGTTCCTGAGATGGATGGCAGCATTCTTCAGCACCCAGTCTAACAGTTTTTCTATTTAAGAAAAAAACTTATAAAATTCACTGTAAGTTTTTAATGAATTATTTAAAGCTGTATATCTTAGCAATACCTTTTTGGTCTCCAATGGTTAATGAGGTGTAAACACATCAGGGAGGCAGTAACTTCTGTATAGGCTGATGCTGAAATTACTATTGGCCAGAAAACACTTGTTAGCCTGGTTAAAAAAGTAGTCTGAGCCTGCTGTATCAGACTACCTGTATTTACTTAGTTGTTATGAAGATTAAACCTAGCTCTGTTTTTAATTTAACAGCTTTCTTGTGAAACCATTTTGTGCTTTCAAGAGAAAAGTACATTTATGGAAATACAGCTGGGCATTGAAATACAGTTGGTTAGTCAGGCTGTGGAGCTGCTTTTTGTTGTTGTTGTTGACATTACACATCATAAAAAAGTGTGTACCTCCAGGAGTAGAGATTACCTGAGAAAACAGAATTTTTCAGCCCAATAAACAGATCAGGGAGAATCTGAAACTTAAGTCCCTAGTTTCCGTGGCCAGGTCAGTGTATGAAGACAGTAATTCAAGCCTTATTCCTTGTGCCACCTAACTGCTTTGTAGAATCGAGGTATTTCCTTCTTTTTAAAAGCACTTTGAGGTCCTGAGTGAAGAGTGAGGTTTAAGTGGTGTTTATAAGTGTGTTACTCAGTGAAGGCAGAAACACACTCATGAATGTGCACAGTGCAAAACAGGATGCGTGGTTCTTCTGCTGTGTGTCATTATTTATTAAGAAGATCCTCAAGCAAGCTTGGGTAACCACAGAGGGGTTTGAATGGACAATTTTTATAGAAAGCAGCTATTCTGTAGACTCAGTGGGATATATGAGGAGACTTAATGCTCCATTATTCTCAATCCTAGTTGTTTTACAACTTTTTTCATCGTGTAACATGTCTTGATGCAAATAAGAATATAAACTTTTTTTGAAATGACAAAAATTACTGCTGTACAAACAGAAAGCACAAATGCCAATTTTGTTTTCATACACTGTAAATTGATGCAATTTCATTTTTCCAACTAATTGTAAATAAGTTTCTCCACATACTGATACCATATCTATGTGTGTATATATAAATTATTAAAAGATGTATGTATATATACTAAAGATTAAAATTTAAATGGTTGGTGCTACTTGAGGATACAATCATGGAGAAAATCACTTGGGTGGGTGATAAGATGTATCAGTAACATTCAAACTGCTTTTTATTGAACACCATGTAGCTGAGACCACCGTGCACTCTGTTTTGCACTTGGGCTCGTACAGCTTGTGTATGGAAAGGGAGCCAACATTCAACAAAATCCAGGTCTGAAGTAATTCCTGTTGATGTCAAGTATCGACAGAGTTAAATTATGTCTGACCTGGATATTGCAGTACTGTATTGAAGGAACACTCCAAGAGGTGAAAAACATCACCTGCTGCTTGTCCATCAGTGGCTCTGTGGCTTGGCTTATTAGCTGGAGGGGATGGAAATTCAGCCCTCACTCCGGATAGAGCATAACCTGAAGTTAAAAGGTATCACAGTTAGCTTTGGAAAGGTGATTAAAAAGAAAGGAAGAGAAAATGTGAAGGAAACCAAAGCAGAATATCTTCAAAACTAGCTTTTAGATGAGGCTTTGGTTATGTATGGGACTCTGATGTATGTTACGATAAAATGCAGCCATACTGGAGCTAGTATATCTTATCCTGGGTATTAAAAAATCTAAATATTTAAAAATTATATAGAGAATATATATGTAAAAGGGTAATTGTTTCAGAATTTCAGAAACTTGAAATTTTTAGTGTAATTTTATAGCATGTACAATAAGGAAGTTAAAATATATTTTAGTATTTAATACAACAGAGCATTTGAAATTAATTGCTGTCTATGTGCACAATAGAAAATTCAACACTGCAATTCTGCTTTTCAATGTTAAAATGAAGATGGGATCACCTGTGAACTCATTCCTCAATTTTCTAGGTAGTTTAATAGCTTCCTTCTGGTTTAGGCTTGGTGTAAAGACTGAGCAGGATGTGTCACTGTGAAGTGACATCCATGCTTGGTTACTATAAAGAGAATTTACCACACTGGCTACTTCTGTTAGTTCAAGCATTGCAACATGATCAACAGGAAAGTTAACTTTCTACACCAGTGATTCTTTTCACTTGCACTTTTGTCCCAAGTGGCTATAATTACCTGCTGAGCAAAAAAGAAAAATGTATATTCTGTAAATATTGTAAATGGTATGAGCATTTAATGTCTGTTTTAGTTTGGCTGTTTCAATCTTTCATTGAAGCAGGTGTTGTAAAAAAAATAAAATTGGGACAGAAGTCCTCCTGTCTTTTATTTCCTATAGCATATATAGTGGGTGGAGTTTTCTTAACAAGAATTTATATTCCTTTGATTCCTTACATTTGTGTTCTTAATAGAAAGTCTGCTATTAATTTCCAACCTTTTGCCACTCCAGGCTTCAGATCATCCATGTCTGTTGCTGAAAATTGTACCATATGCCTCATGTCCAAAGATGCAAGTCTGTCATCTTTTCCTAAAGGTGCTCACTCCAACAATACTGATATAGACCTATCACTATTCACCATTTGTGGTGCTGATGGGGTGGCAGCTACCTCTCCCTGGTTTTAAGTCTTGGATTTGAGGCCCTTCACCTCCTGCAGCCTCAAACAAGCCAGGTAAAAAATGCATCTTATTTCTTAATTACACATAGTGTAACCTCTGTTAAACACTCACCCTCAGCCAACTGGGTGTGGGCGTGCACCTCCTTGGGTTTTAGGAAACTTGTGGAGAAGCACAGAGCTTTCCTGTGGTCTGTATCTGCTTCTTAATGGTCTTCTGAGGAAATGAAGGGGAAAATTAGAAGTGAGCTTTCTCCTGCTAGACAGATAATGATTGGGACTTTTACTCACTGTTACTCACAAAAGGACTTAGAGTCCTTTTGTCCAGCTGGTACTACTACCTAAGTTGCAATTTCTCTTTCTCTTGCAAGTAGTTTCCTAATTATAAAATGGATATTCAGTTCCTTGTTTAGCAATTTCAAATTGCATTAACTTAAGCATGAGTCCTGTATCTGACAGGATGCCAGAAACAGGTGGAAATGTGTCACCCATAAACACACACCAAATTTAGGTCAGAAAATACCCTTGACGTGATCAAGTCTAGCTATTAGCCGAGCATTCCAAGCCCTCCATTAATGTACAGCTGAGTAGTACAGACACTGGGATTTGTTCATTTGTGCATTGGATACCACACCCTGGCTTTTCAGTACTGATGCTTGTTCCTTGGTGAATTACAGGAACACGTTTTGATCCCTAAATGAACAGGTGGCAAAGACTGGTATTATAAGGATTTTGTTGGCAGCATGCACATACCCTTTGTAAGTGATTGTGTAAAGCCAACATATTTTCACAGGAAAGTCAAGGTTTGGCCCCCTTTAATTACCACCGGGTGACTTGCACTTGCCTGTGTCGAGGTGCAATAGAAGCAATTTGCTTCCTCAAGCGCTTGCTGCTCCCATGTGAAGTGACTGGGCCAGTTGTCCCCAGCTCAGCGGGAACTTGAGTTGTGAGCTAGTCCCACACAGTTTTCAGAGCAAGAGGCTGGATTTTCACTTCTACTGTTGGGACCCTGCTCTTTGATTGCAGGAAGTGAAATACTCGTGCTATCTGGCAGATACCATGCACACCTCTAAAGAAAACATACCAAGAGCTCTTATTGCCCAACAGTGGCAATTACCTACCTAACTGGGGCTTATCATTGGGGGTTGTATGTACTTGAAGGGTGTGTGTAGCTCTGCATACTTTGACCTTGTTTCTGATGTGACAAACTGTGATACAAGCATAGGCTGTTCCAGGACGGAGAGAAAAGCAAGCTCTGCCAGACTCCATGCTGTGTCATGTCCAACTGCACAAAACAAGCTTCTGACTTCAGATGGAAACAAACCTACAAAAACATGTCTGTTGGTCCAGCTGGTCCCATGGACACCAAGGATGAGCCAGTCACATCCCTGAGTCAAGTGTTGTCCAAGCGAGGGCAAGCCTGGCCCGGCCATCACAGAGAGAAACACTGGCCAGGCTCGCTCAGCGCCACCACACCCACAAGCACTGGCCATGCACCACCCCTTCCACTCCTTCCTGGGAAGAGCCCGCAGTGCCAGGATGCACTGTCTGATGTCCACACAGCCTCCTGGAGATAGATCTCCTCCTCTGTCCCTGGCATGTCAAAAACAGTCCCTGTTGAGGAGGGTACTCAGGACTGTGTGCAGGGTGTTCCTTGGCACCCACCCGTGAGTACCCTGCTCCCAGCGCCAGGCAGGTGCCTGGAGATGGCTGCTCCAAGCCTCAGCAGCGTCCTCTGAGAGAGTGACACAGGGAAACACAGCAGGGATGGATGCAGGGACAGTGCCTCAGGCATCTGACTGTCCCCAGGCCATCCTGCTGCCAGACTGTTCTTGGCCATGTCTTCCTGACACCAGTCTGTGATTCCCCGGTAGGCATTATGATTAGATCTAGTTCATCACACACATTTTGCAAATAGATTATGTTTTATATGTATTTTTATATAATATGCTATAATTTTTCTGCAATAAAACTGTCAGTTTAGCCCAATTAACTGAGTTGTGTGTGCACAAAAAATTGATTCAAAACCAAAAATAATGGTTTTATATGATCTCTTATATCTTCCATGGAATACCTGTACTGGGAATGGAAT